CTTGGCGGGCCCCGACCTGCGGGCTCTTAGGGTGAAGTCGGGCCTGTCCCCCTACAGGGGGATTTTCGACGAAAAATAAAAACAACCCAAATAGTCAAAAAAATCAAAAAATAGTCTGGGGACTATTTTTTTGAATATTGTTTGACCTTTTTGGTGTATTTTGGGGGTATTTTTTTATTTTTCGTCGAATATCCCCCTGTAGGGGGACACGCCCGACTTAATCTTAGGGGCCCGCAGGAAAACGGCGGCGAAATCCGAAACCTCCAGGATTGGGGTGGCCAGCGGGGTAGCCGATTTGTCGAGGCGGGGGATCTATCCGTGATCACCGTCCGGGGGAGCGACCTCCGGGGGGCCCGGCAGGCGGCGGGTATGGACATGTTAGGGGCCCGGGGGGGCCATGCGTATACATGTCAACCGCCTGCCGAGGCCCCCGGATTCAGGAATCGCACAAGTGGATCGTCGGCGGCGAAATCCGAGCATGACTCTCGCCGATCAACGATTCAGGCAGCTCGATGGGCGGCGGGGGTTAGGTTTGGGAACTCGTCGAACCTTTTCGGCGAAATCCGAACCCTACCCCCGCCTCCCATCGATTCCGAAGAATAGATGGTTGGTGGGGGTACATTGCCGTTTTTAATACATGCTCCGCGTGCGGATCATATATTAAACATGCAGGGATTCAGTATAAAAAACAACGATGCGTTTAAGCACCAATGTATGCACGAATTGATCATGTTTTTTTTTTTTTTTTATATATGCCATTTTTAATCATATGTATTAGAAGCTGCCCTGTAGGGTTCGGATGTCGCCACTTAGACAAAGCTGCCCGCAGCACGAAACCCGTGCAGCAGGAGGAGCCGACAGCTTCCGTCGGGTCCGCCGACGGCCCTGAGATCCGGACGTTGCATTTTCCCCACACGGGGCGTCTATGCGCCCGGCTGCGGGCCCCGGGCCATGAAGGACAGCTCGATCCGCTTCGGAGACTGCGGCAGACAGATGGGGTGTAGGGCCTCAACCGTTTCGCGATGCTGCGGTATTTCGCGGCGTCGGACCTCAGGGAGAGGGGGGTGGGGAAAAGGGCGGATGCGAAGTCTGCTGCACGCAGCCGGTTTCGGCCCCGCCGCTGGACGCTCTCCTCGATACGTCGGTGCCTCCTGGTGCTGGGAGGCGCCGGAGAGACCAGCTGCGTGAGCTGATTTGCCAACCATTGCTAATCCCTCCTTCTCCCCCTCCTCCTCCCCCTCGTTCTCCTCCTCCTCGTCGTCCTCCTCCTCCTCCTCCTCGTCCTCCTCCTCCTCCTCCTCCTCGTCCGACCAGCCTCTCTCTGCTCTACTTCATGGACTCAGGGGTCCTACAAGGCTGTCCGTTAAGTGGTTCGCTCTATGTCATTGCTGCCAACTCGTTCCTGCTGGATATCGAAGTATCCCTGAGCAATGGTTCAGTGTCTCTCGGGGCTGCCCGTGCGTGTGCAGATGATCTGGGGGCAGTCATTAGGAAGAATCGCGGATACCCACGGCTTGGTCGTGTTTTCCGCAATGCTCGTCTGTTCGCCAACCTGGTGCTCAAGCCTGCTAAATGCTTTGTGATACCCCTTCGTGGTCCCGCCTGCGAACCGTACACTTCGGAACTGCGACAGGTTTTGATCGATGCCGACGCTGAGTGGGCAGACTTCCAAATGGTAGACGTGTGCACTTACTTGGGATTTCAGATCGGCCCTGGGGCCACGATTGACGCACAGTGGTCGGAGGCGCTGGCCAAACATGCATCTCGTACAGTTGAGTTGAGCCGACAAGGGGCCCCTGTGCAAGTTGCTGCTAAGTTGTATGCCGATCGGGCGCTTCCTGTTTTGGGCTATGTCTCGCAGCTGGTCCCTCTTGGGTGGAAGGAGTGTCAACGGCAGCGCCATCTTGTGGCGCGGATTCTGCGGGCGCCGAGTTCGATGTTGAGAATGGGCGATTGCTTTGCTCTGGCTGAATGGGGTGGGCCGAGGTTCACATCCATGTTTGTGCTGGCCGCGGCGACTCGCATGCGGTCCGCTCTCACGACGTGCTCCACATGGCAGGCAAGGCTCGGAAGGCTGCGGCAGGTGGTGACGGACATGGGGTGCGCGAGCCTCTGGAACGCTGCGGTGATGGCCCCACCCTTCTGGAGGTGCCCACCGTTTGCATGGTTCTTGGAGCAAGGTGCACTCGGCTTCGAACAAGATCGACAGCTTAGTATTGGTGGTGCGATGGCTCGAGCACTGTGGGCAGGCAGGCTTGGAAGAGGTGAACTTTCCCGCCTCTTTGGGCCAGCTGCTCTCCATGGACAGCTGGAGAGGTTGCTGTGCAGCCGCGAAGATCCGCAGGAGGAGAGGGCGAGGAGAACCCCGAGGACCAAATGGCAGAGTATCTTCTATCAGATATTGTTGAGGAACGTCTTCCCGCCGAAGCTGGAGGAGCTGGTCAGGCGGCGGTTGTGGCGGCATTTCAGGATTCGAGCGTCTGATCTGCAGGCAGTGCAACAGACGTTGCAGGCTGTCCCTCCAAGTTGGGCGGTTGTTGCTTTGAAAACTTTCCTTGGTGGATGGATTACGAACCGACGGATGCAGAGAGATGCGAGATGTATTTATGGGTGCGAGCACGGAGCTGACACCATCGCGCACTATGTCGTGCGCTGCCAGCGATGCCATCACTTTGCTGCTTTGGTGCTCCGTAATGATCTTCCTGGCAATGTGGCTTTCAGGATTGGTGTCAGGGGTGGCAATCTGGCATTTTTGATGGCGATCTATCATCATTACCGCCTCATGTCGAGAGTACATACTGAGGCGCCCCAGTACGCAGGTGCCCTCAAGCTGGTCGAAGCTGCCCGTCTGGCTGTACGTCTGCCGTTGAGGGGTGGTCAGAGGCGCATGCTTCGACGATCTGAGCTGCAGAAAGTTGTGCTGGCAAGTCGAGCGGCTTCCTCCTCTTCTTCATCACCCAGCTCGTCATATGAGTCAGAAGGGAGTGCCGCTGGAGACGGACAGGGGGATGGTCCCGATGTCAGAACGCGAGTGGCTGGCGTTAGATCGCAAATCCCAGACGAGTGCGCCTCGAGCTCGGGCTGGGTTCAGTCGTCACGTGCTGGTTCGTCATCGTGTGGAAAGACGGGCTCGTCCTTGATGTCAGACGGCGCGTCCTCTGTGGCTGGAGTCGCTGGCGGTGATGATGTGCATGCTGCTGAGTCGGGTGTCAGAACGCTAGGTGAAGGCGTTAGATCGCAAATCCCAGACGAGTGCGCCTCGAGCTTGAGCTGGGTTCAGTCGCCACGTGCTGGACTCCCACACAGTGATGAGGCGATCAGAACGCAAAGTCCTGGATCCCACGGGTGCTCCTCGAGCCCGTGGCTTTCCCAGGCTCGGTCGCCACGAATCCTGGCATCGAATTGTACAACGTCGTCTTGGATGGCATTGCCGCCGACATCGACGGCGGGGTGGGCCTCACCGGCGTCAAGGTGGCCGCGTTTGCTGCCGCGGGTGAGGCCGCCTGATGCTGAGTGTGCTCCGCCTCTCTTGTCCCATGGCAGTGGCAGCGGTGAGGTAGGTAGTCGAATTCGGGAGAGTGAGTCAGGTTGCAGCTGGAGGTTTGATGGTAGTAGCAGTGGGGAGGAGAGGAGGGGCAGCAGGCGCCGACAAAGCCACGAGCGTCGCTGGCCCCCGCCCCCGCCGTAGAGTTGATCCTGGGACGTGCTCAGGGTACGCTCCGCCTCCTCGTCCGACCAGCCTCGCGTGGCAGGCCGAGCGGTCCGTGTGGAGCTTTTGGCCACCCGCGCGGGCGAGAGGTCCGCGCTGCGCGCGTCGCGGTCTGGGCCAGGGATCGCCAGGGCGGTTGCCCTTCTCCTCCTCCTCCCCCTCCTCCTCCTCCCCCTCCTCCTCCTCCTCCTCCTCCCCCTCCTCCTCCTCCTCCTCTTCCTCCTCCTCCTCCTCCTCCTCCTCCTCCTCCTCCTCCACGGGTCGAAGAAGAAAAAAACGCCATAAAAATAAACTTTCGACGCTTCGCGCGAATTTCTTGGATCTGCGCTGGAGCGCCGCCCCTGGCGCGCTCCGCGCGCCAGGGAGGGAGAGTGTCAGAGGAGGAAGAGGTACCCATACCGCTGCCCTCGCCTCGGCTTCCCCTTTTTGGACTTCCCGGGATTCCCTCGTCGCCACCGCTGGACTCGCTTCGAGATCTTGGTCAGAACGCCCCCCGGGAGAGGTCCAGGGAGTAGCGGTGTCGGTACCTCTTGGTTGCCCCAGAGTGGGGGAGTGGGGGACGGGAGGTGGGGGAGAAGGTCGGCTACGAGTTAGGAGGAGGAGGAGGAGGAGGAGGAGGAGGAGGAGGAGGAGGAGGAGGAGGGGGAGGAGGAGGAGGAGGAGGAGGAGGAGGAGGAGGAGGAGGAGGAGGAGGATGGGAGGTTCCTTGTCGGTCTTGGCGCGCTATCCATCACCAGTGCCTCCCCCTCGGAGGAAGCAGCAGGCAAACCTCTCGTGTCGGCAGGGGCCGGGGTGGGCGCCAGGGGGAATGCGAGGGCAGTTTTTCGAACTCGTCCTTCGTGGTGTGGCGCCGTCCTGCAGGCACGCGACAGGCTGCCGGTGGTGCCCATTCTGTAGTATTCGGTCGAAATGATATGCGCCCACGCTACGGCCACAGACGAGAGATGTCTTTCCCCCCTCGTGGATGCAGACGTCAATTTGCACTCAGAGCCAAGAGTGTGCTCCCTCTCCTTGCATGCATTATGTATCCGATTGCCACTTTGTACTTTCAAGAGTCTGGCCATGACACTGAAAGGACTGTACAGTGGAAACCCATGCCAAGAAACGCCCTGCTTGCCTCCAGTTTGCCCTGGGTTTCTTGGGTCTCGATGGTCTTGCTGTGGAAAGCGTGACGTCCCCACCAGAAATCGATGGACGTCCTGGGGTCTCGGGGTTGGGTCTCTTGTGGACGGTCTCTTGTGGTCGGGCCCCTACTGTACTCGGGGCCAAGATGTGTGCTCCCTCTCCCTGCATGCCTTCGGCGTCCGATCGCCACTCTGCACTTTCAAGAGCCCGGGCCACGACACCGACAGGGCTGCACAGAGGCGCAGGGGAGGCGGACCACTCGAACATCGCGGTGCACTCGCGGCTCGTCGGCCACTCCCGTGCCATCACCTCGTGCTTCTTCAACCTGCTGGAGGACCAGCTGGTCACCACCTCCATCGACAAGTCCGTGCGCTTCTGGGCCGTCGACTCCGGAGAGATGCTGAAGGCCGCTGCTCCTCCTCCTCCTCCTCCTCCTCCTCCTCCTCCTCCTCCTCCTGCCCTTCTCCTCCTCCTCGTCGTCGTCCTCCTTCTTCTTCTTCTTCTTCTCCTCCTCCTCCTCCTCCTCCTCATCCTCGTCCGCCTCCTGCTCGCGCGTGCACGCTTTTCGAGCTGAACGCGCCCGGCCGCACTTCAGTGCCTCGCGTTTCCCAGGAGGCTGCCGGTCGGGCCTGGGAAGGACGCGCTCTCGTCGTGGCGAGCCCCTGGTGCAACCAACAATTACGAGGGGGGCGCCTACTGAGGAATCAGTGCTCAGGAGGCGCCAGACCCTGGAGGATTCCTTATCAGATGGGGGCGCCAGTGGTATCCATGGCCATGCCTCGATTGGAGTTCTGCCGGCTTCCAGACCCTGGGTTCCTGATCCGCTGGTTCATGTTCCAGTGCCCTCACCGTACTTGATCCGATAATGTGGGCTTTTGTCCTTGTCGTAACGCCCACGGCACTTCCAAGCATGCGCAGCTTGACGCGCCGCCGCAGCGCCGGAGCGCCGCGTCTTGCTTCTGTCTTGCGGCCTCGGGGCCACAGCGCCATATGCTGGCGGCGCCAACAGGGGATGGCTCGAGGGGGGCGGGCGTCTAGGAAGGCGGCGGGGCCTCTGCCCAGGCAGGGGTGCTTCTCAGGAGCCCGCCTGGCTTCCCCTAAGGCTCCTTAGAAGTCCCCGGGCCCTTCTAAAGAAGGCCCCACTTTCTAAGAAGCCATCCCGTCTCCTTAGAAGCCCACATACCTCGCGCCACCTGCCATGGGCGCCTCCAGCTTGCGGCCTCGGGGCCACAGCGCCACTGGACGTCTCGTCGGACGGGGTCGGTGTGCCAGGAGTCGGCCTGGCCGCCGCCGCGGGCGGCCCCGACCGCCGCCGCCACAGCCGATCGACCAGGGCGCGGCCCCATCGACGCGGTTGCCGCCGCTGCTGCCGCCGCCGCCGCCGCTCTTCCTCCTCCTCCGCCTCCGCCTCCTCCTCCGCCTCCGCCTCCGCCTCCGCCTCCGCCTCCGCCTCCGCCTCCGCCGCCTCCGCCTCCTCCTCCGCCTCCGCCTCCTCCTCCTCCCCCTCCTCCAGGGGACCTCGTGGGCCCCGCCGGGGGGCAGCGTCAGGGGACTCCAGGCGCCCACGTGTGCTCCCGGGCGCTCCCCCGACGGAGCAGGCCCTCCCGCAGGGGCAGCGTCGGGGGGGGGGGGCTGGCTCGTGGGGGGGGCGACGTCTCGAGGCTCGTGTTTTGGGGCTCCGCGGGAGCGTCTGGGGCACTGTGAAGACGAAGCCAGCGAGTATGCTGAACGGGTACGTTTTACGCGGGAAATGGGCCGATTTGCACCTCTTGAAGGCCCTCTTGGGGCCCTCTTCGGTCATCTTCAAGCCATCTCGGGCCATCCTGGGCCTCGCTGAGGCTGTTCGAGGCTTTCGGGCGTCGGCTGCGACGGGGGGACGACGTTTCGATGTCCGAGGTTCGACCAGGTTATCGAGGCGTTTTCGTCGCTTCTCGGCGGCTTGCCAGCCTCGGGACGCTTTTTCCAGCAGCAGCGCCTCGTCGAGGGCGTCCTGGGGGGGACCAGCGGCTCGAAATTCCACCAGGGGCCTCGGCTCGGGGGCAATCCGTCGACCCCCTCCTCGCTTACGTAGGCATCGCCGAGCGGGGCCCGACAGTCCACGCCGCCTGGGAACGTGCGTACATTTGCCACGGGGGCCCACCGCCGCTCCGTCGGCGAAGAAACACCCTGCTTGCCTCCAGGGTGCCCTTGGTCTCTTGGGTTTCGATTGTCTTGCGATGGAAATCGTGACGCCTCCACACCAAAAAATCGACGGACGTCCCGGGGTCTCAGGGTTGGGTTTCTTGTGGAAGGCTTCTTGTGCTCGGGCCCCTGCTGTATACATCGCCCCTTTCAGGTTGATGACCCCCCCCCCGGGCCAGTTCCCCCCTAGCCTTCCCCTTCATCTGCGGTCCCCACGGGGCCTGGAACAGGCCATCCGGGGGCTTGAACTGTACGAACGCCGTCCGCACACTATCTTTACCAGGACGCTGGCGGCCCAGACGTCCAGCGGCCCAGAAGAGCGGAGATGGCAGTTTTTCTGTTGTTGCGGGTTTCCGCGTTGGGAGGCTGTCTTTGGGCCTGGGGCTTCCATCAGAGAGCGGCTCTTCAGCCATACACGCCGCCCAGTGGATCGATCTTCGGGGACATCGGCAGGCGGTGAGTATGGATATGTTCGGGTCCCCAGGGGCCCAAATGTAGCGCTTTCGTTTCCGAGCAGTTTTGAACGTGCGCGTGCGGGGAGAGATGCATCAAGGAAAGCACAGTTCGTGCCTCGACCCGTCTTCAGAGGACGTCGTTGCTTCATCGGCGCCCCCGGGCTCGCCAAGGAGAGGGAAGCAAGAGGGATAATATTTTTTATGTATGTCTCAGACCAGCCAGGCTGCCGTCCGGGCATGGGTTCCCCATAAGTCAACAATTCGGAAAAGGCGAACTATGGGAAACTGGGGGCCCAGGTTTTTGAGGTGATTCCAGGTTTCCCATTCCTGATTTTGGGAGACCCATCGCCGGACTACTGCCGACCAGCCGCAGACGCTCCCAAGGCCAGTCGGCTCTCTGGGGTCCCAGGACGTCGGTTCCCCAGGCGGTGGATGTGGAGACGTCCCCGCCCCGCACGCGACGAGAGACGGGTTCCAGGGGAAGAGGTCGAAGGGTTTGGGCCTGGGGACTTCTGCCTCCGAGCTGCCCGGACGTCGGGGGCCCGGGAGGTCGAAGGCCCTTGGGCCATAGCGCGACCCACGGGAGGCCACTTGGGGCGTTATTGCCGCCGTTCGTGGGGCTCTCGTCGTCGTCGTCGTCGTCGTCGTCGTCGTCGTCGTCGTCGTCGTCGTTGTCGTCGTCGTGGTCGTGGTCGTGGTCGTCGTGGTCGTCGTCGTCGTCGTCGTCGTTGTCATCGGCGTCGTCGTCGTTGTCATCGTCGTGGTCGTCGTAGGCGTCGTGGTCATGGTCGTGGTTGTCGTCGTAGTCGTCGTCGCATGGTGGTGGTGGTGGTGGTGGTCGTCGTCGTCGTTGTCGCCATGGTGGTGGTGGTGGTGGTCGTCGTCGTCGCCGTGCCCGCCCTCCTCGAAGTTCCTCCTCTTCGTCCTCCTCCTCCTCCTCCTCCTCCTCCTCCTCCTCCTCCTCCTCCTCCTCCTCCTCCTCCTCCCCCTACTCCTCCAACATCTCCTCCTCCACTCCGTTTCCTAATAAACGTAATTTCTCCCTGTCGCACCCCGAGGTCAGTTGGTAGCGCGGGCCGGGCGTTCCGCCTGAGACTTCGTCACCATGTGTATGACCCTGAGTCTTAAACATTTACAGCAGTTTTACAGATCCTCTCTGAACGATGAGGAGGAGGAGGAGGAGGAGGAGGAGGAGGAGGAGGAGGAGGAGGAGGAGGAGGAGGAGGATTTTTTTATTCCCCGCGGGACTTCAACTCTAAACGGCGTGAAACAGCGCCAGCTCCACGTAGATGATGAGGGAGACCACGAACACCAGGAGAAGAAGGAACACCATCACGCCCACGTCAACGCCAAATACGAGCGGATAAATGACGAGGCCCATCTTGAGCACCCCATCCAGAAACCATCGGCCCATAGCATGCATGACAAGCCCCTCAGTGCGACCAGCACAAAAATGAAGATAAAGACGGTGTACCAGCAAACCGCTTAGGATTCCCACGACTGGAGGAGGAGGAGGAGGAGGAGGAGGAGGAGGAGGAGGCGGAGGAGGAGGAGGAGGAGGAGGAGGAGGAGGAGGGGGGGAAGGAGGAGGAGGAGGAGGAGGAGTAGGAGGAGGATGAGGAGGAGAAGGAGGAGGAGGAGGAGGTTGAGGAGGAAGAGGAGGAGGTGGTGGAGGAGGAGGCCGACCTTGCCGCGCTTCTGCAAGGTCGGCCTGGACGGGAGCAACGCTCACAGCGAGTTCGACTGGGCAGCTGCGGCGACTGCGGAGTCGACCTTGCTCCCGGACCTGTTGCCCTGGGCGCAGGCCGCCGCGCACGTGCACGTGTCGCGCGACGGCATGCAGACCCTTCTCCTGAGTGAGCGCGGTGGGGACCAGTGTGCTCCCTCGGCGTGGCCGGCGCCGTGGAGCAGGCAGCAACCACCGCGGCGGAACCGGCGAGGGGCTATTGCTACCAACCTGACTCCGACGTCAACTGTGACCCTTCCACAGCCGCGGCCGCTGAGGAACTGTTTGCCCGCGCCTGCGCCGCGGCCAGCCTCCGCGGGAACCCCGCGAAGACCAAGCTGAGTCCAGGCCGGGAGGTCGACGTGGCGGCGGTCGCCTGGCAACGTGAGCTGGAACCCTGGGCCCTGGTGCTCCGCCACGGCGCGTCGCCGACGGTCCCAGCGACCCCCGCCGCTGCGCCAGCAGAAAAGAGCCTTCTCGCCAAGGGCAGTCCTAAGGTGACTGCGTTGCAGACGACTCGCGGGGGGATTTACCAGAGGCTGCGCAGCCTCTGTGCAGCGGGCCTGGACAAGCACGTGGCCCTGACCTTCCTGCTCGCGGGAACGGGCTCCGACTACACGTTTCTGGCGCACACTTGCGTCATCCCGAGGGCGGAGGCGCGGGCGCTGGACGGGGCGCTGGCCACAGAGTACGAGCACGCCCTGGGCATCCCGCTGGACGACGCCACGCGCAGGAATCAGGAAACTCTTCCTCGCCGGCGCCGCTGGAGGCCACGGGCTGCAGAGCGTGGAGCTCGCCGCTCCCGCGGCGAACGCGGCCTCCTGGCACGTCTGCCTGCCGCACTGCCTGCGGCGACCCGGCCTGGAGAACACCGCCGCCCTGGCAGCGCATCCCCTGGGCGCGCCGCGCCCTGCCTGCGGCCACAGCGACGCTCCGGGCTGCGCTGGGGGACGACATCGCCCACGTTGGCGACGAGGCACTGGCAGCTACGCAGCGCACCCTCGCTGCGGCATCCCTCGATACGACTGTCTGCTTCGCCGCCAACGAAGCGGCGGCTGCGGACCCCCTGGCGGCGGTCCCCCTGCGCTCTGCGGGCGGCCCATGCGCGAGCGCCCTCCTGCAGGTGCCGACGCTGCCCTGCCACTGGTTCATCAACGCGCAGCTCGGCATCGCGTTGCGCAATTGGCTTAACTTCCACATGCCAGAACGCGCATGCCCCCGCTAGAGGCGGGCGCGGCCGGGCCTGAGCGCCCGAGACTTCGTCAGCACAGGCACCCTCGCGGCGGGATCTGCGGCGCCACGCTTGGCCCCATTGGGGCGGCACGCGCGCAGCTGCCTCGTGCTGGGGTGGCTCGTCCGCCGCTACGACGCTAGCTGCGCGGCGCTCGCAGAGTGGTGCGTGGAGCAGGGGTGCACAGTGCGCAGGGAGGTCCTGCTCCCCTGCGCAGCGCCAGGGGGCCCAGAAGCGCGAATGGACTTGGTCGTCCACGCCCCGCGCTTCGCTGAGCCGCTCATTGTCGACTCGACCGTGGTGGGCGCGCTCACGCAGGACGCCCTTGCGCTCGGCTCCGCGCTGCGTAATTGCGCGGCGGCAGCAGCCGCGGCGCGGCGCAAGCGGGCCCGCTACCCCATGGCGGCTGTGGTCCCGTTCGTGGAGGAGGGCCGCGTCCGCTTGGGGAAGCGCTGGCCTTGACGAGGCTGCTGGCGCTCGCCCAGGACACCGAGCAATCGCTGCCCATCAGGCAACGCCAGTCGTTCGGATGCGTCTCGCAGCGCAACGCCGCCGACGCGGTGCTGGCGGCGACGCAGCTGGGCAGCTGGCGCTAGGTGGGGCAACCCTGGCGGGGGCTGAGTTGCCGCGGACGCCACCTAGCGGCCGCGCAAGGCACTACTGACGGGGCGGCGGCCAGGCGGGCGCTGGGGCGCCGGCAACTGCGCGGGGCTGCTGGAGCAGGGCGCCAGTGGCGCGCCAGACGGCCGAGCGGCGCTGCTGGGCTGCTGGGGTCGCCAGCTGGGCGCCTGGAGGCGGGGCCGGGGCGGCGCGCGAGCGACCGCAGTCGTGGCGAGGCCGAGGCGGCCGAGGCCGGGACGCGCGGCGATCGCGGCGCGCAGCCTTGCGGCTGGGCGGCGGCCTGGCGGCGGGGTGCGGCGGCTGCGCGGCGCAGGCTGGCGGGCCAGCGAGGGGCGTTCGGGGTTCCGCGCGGCCTGCTACCTTGTCGTCCGGGTCCCCGCGGTGGTCCCATGTATGCCTAGTTTATGGGCGCCCCAACCAACCGATCCACCTCCAGACCAACATCCAGGAGCCACGCGTGTGCGCAAAGGCCCCCCCCTGCTTGAGCGCCCGGGTCTGACCCCCAGGCCGGTCTGATCCGCCACGCTTGCGGCGAAGAAGAAGAAGAAGAAGAAGAAGAAGAAGAAGAAGAAGAAAAAGAAGAAGAAGAATAATAATAATAATAATAAGAAGAAGAAGACGAAGATGATGCCCTCCAGGTCCCCAAAAGGGAACTGCCGGACCTGGGTCCAGCAGGAGAGACGGTCCCGCTGTCATTTGTCCGCTGGTCCCCACATGGGAAAGGAAGTGAAACAAGCCGTGCGCACAGGGGAACGTGCTGCTGCGATGGCGGGACTCCTTGCCCGGTCCTGGTGGTGGTGCCCCCTGGCGGGCTTTGAATGCTGCTTCCCCTCCAGGCGCCGGAGCTCAACGACCAATGACCCCAAACAGTGGCCCTCGGAAGCCCCAGGACAAGCCGGCGGTGGTACATGCGATGACTTTGCAAACACTGTCGGGGGAACCCTTCGGACGAGTGGAAGGAAGGAAGATGGGAATAACGAGGGAGGGGGGAAGGGATATGGCTGTTCCAGGTGCTAGATACGGTTTGGTCGGCACAACCCCTATGCCGAAACCACGCGCCTCTGCTGACGAAGGCCCGCTGCTGATGTGAGCGCTGCCGAACTTAAATATGCTGCCCTGCCACGTCTGCGGGGGGGAAGACGATGATTATGATGCTGATGATGAGGATTGCAGGTATGGGGGGGGGAGATTTGATGAGAAGCAGCTACTTGTCCCCCTCCTGTCTCTCTAAAGAGGCTGCGGGTCGAAGCGGGGATGAGGAGCTTGTCCCCGCTGCAGCTGGCATGGCTGCTCCAGGGCATGCTTGCGGATCAGCTGGCGCAGCATCTGTGCCAGCAGACGCTGAAGGCACTGCTAGCCGGGCACGGCTCCCCACAATGTGTGCACATCAGGTTCCGAACGTGGATAATGGAAGAATTCCATTGTATGGGGTCCACGCTGGCACATGTTGAAGATACGAATGTGGCGCAAATTCGTACCCTAGGCACGGGCGCGGTGGATGATACGAATGTGGCCAATTTCGTATCGTAGGGCATCGGCACGCATAGGAACACTGGCGCTGGCTCCTATCCTGGACCGCCTCGCCGCCGGCGGACCCGAGACAAAGCCACGCTCCCCAACCACCACAATGCTGGCATTGACAGAGTGGCTGTGGGCATCGCCTGATCTCCCACAGCTGGAAGGCTCACGTCGTCCAGCTGGGCGAACGACTTCAGCATCTCGATGCCCATGTATGCACCCCGCTGCACCTCGGCCAAGGTTGATCGTTGCTATACGTAAAGGTCCCACCAGATTTCTTACCACGCTGACATTGGGATTGCGATGGTCATGATGATGATGCTGATGCTGATGCTGATGCTGATGATGCTGCTGCTGCTGCTGCTGATGATGATGATGATGATGATGATGATGATGGTAATGTTGCTGATGGCGCGACTGCTAATGCTACTGCTGCTGCTGATGATGACGATGATGATGAGAGCGTGATGATGATGATGAGGAGGAGGACGAGGAGGAGGAGGAGGAGCAGGGGCAGGAGGAGGAGGAATAGTGAGGGGGAGAGGTCCTCGGAGACTGCAGTGCTATATTCAAGATGAGAATTTCACGCAGGAGTGCGAGGAACAAACGAGCCGCAATCCACCCGTGTAGCTGTTGCACAAGTGTGAGTTTCGGGCCACACAGGTTGCGGAAGTCTCGCGCGAGACCCCGATTTCGGGAACGAGCCGCCCTCCACCTGTGCAACTGTTGGAAGCTTTCAACACGAATGTGCGCGGCGCGAAGGCGATGGCCACATTCTGAAGACCACCGCCCTTCCGTCAGGTTCGTGATGGTTGGGAGCATTGACGGCGAGTGTGCGCGGCGCCAGGGCGAGAGCCCAAGCTTCTGAGCGACTTGCGCTCCATGCGCGCAGCTGCTGGTCATCTCGGGCCTCGAGATCACAGACCCTGCGGAGGCCTCGGGCGAAACCCTCGACCGGCCCCGAAGGGCACGCCAGGTCTGTGCGGCAGGGAGGGGTGATGCACAGGGAAGAGGGGTGGAGGTGGGCACGAAGAGGCCGCGAGGGCAGCGCTCGTGCGGCGCCTCCCCGCGGCCACGCCCAGGAAGCGCCGCGCTCGAGGCCTCCGCGCGCCAGGCCCCGGCGCCAGAGGCTCTGGCTCGAGGCCCCCTGCAAGTGCAGCCCCCGCAGCCCTCGCGCTGGGCTCGGAAGGTCTCGAGGCCCGCCCCTCGGCGCAGCCAGAGCGTGTGTCCTTCAGCAGCGCGTGAATTACCTACCCCGCTTTCGCTTCCAGGCAAAACCAAGTCATGCCACGCGCCTCCTCGTCAAGCGGCCTGACCAGTACAGGCCGTAGTTTGGCGTCGCTCAGCATCTCTTGGAAGCGAGGGTGGTCAAAAGCGAGGTAGGTTGGTTTGCCCCCTACTTCAGCAGCGCCCGGGCGTCGCCGCCGTGGCGCCCACCGGCGCACGCCGCCCAGCAGCCTGCAGCGCTGCCCTGCGCCTGGGGCAGGGCCTGCTCGTGAGGGCCCCGCGCGCGGCACCCCCACGACGACGACGACGCAGTCCCCGCACCACTCCCCGGGCCCACCCCGACCTGTCTCCCAGGCCCGCCAGGCCGTGGCGACGAGGGCCCTCAGGGGTCCAACGGCCTGGGTCCGCGAGCCTCCCTCCTCCTCCTCATCCTCCTCCTCTGCCCGCTCCCCCCTCTCCTCCTCCTCCCCCCTCTCCTCCTTCCTCCCTCCTCGTCTCCCTTGTGCTCCTCCTCCTCCTCCTCCTCCCTTCTCCTCCTCCTCCCTCCTCCTCCTCCTCCTCCTCCTCCTCCTCCTCCTCCTCCTCCTCCTCCTCCTCCTCTTGGTTGTCCTCCTGGGCTCTGGCGCCGTGGCCCGCGCGCCGAGGTCTTCACCGACTCGTCGCCCGTGCCGGTGGCCATCTTCCTGCAGTTCTCGCCGCAGGCCGGCGCGGGGAGGGCCGCCCGCCCCTCGCGCCGCCGCCGCCCGCGGGCGCGCGGGTCGGTGGGAGCCCTCAGGGCAGCGGCAATCGGACCTGTATAGGATCAAGTCGGGCCTGTCCCTCTGCACGAAGAGGACCCCCAAAGTAGTCACACAGCAGTCGGGGGACGAGATTTTTCGGCTATGTTTTGAGTGCTTTTAGGCGTGCCTGTAGCCCCACCAAACCATGTTCTGAGAACCTCTTGTGGTTTACACGACATGTTCTTAGAACGTTTCTGGTTGAGGCTGTTTTGTTTTAGCACATCGGGTTAATGTTCTAAGAATATGGAGTATGCTCTTAGAGCATTATTCGGTTCTAAGAACATTTCGTGGTAGGACTATAATAGGAATGCCGGGACGATCGGTCCCTGCTCAACGGACCTATAAGATTAAGTCGGGCCTGCCCCTCTGCACGAAGAGGACCCCAAAAGTAGTCAAACAGCAGTCTGGGGATGAGCTTTTTCCACTATGTTCTGAATGCCTTTTGGGTATTTTGGATTTGTCGTCCAACATCCGCCTGTAGGGGGACATGCCCAGTTCCACCGTCGTAACGGGGACCTGCGTTTCCAAGATTTTTTCCCAACCATCCTGTAGTGTTGGGTCCTCGTTTTGAAGAGACGGTGGCCCGCGTCTCCTCTCCTCCTCTCCTCCTCCTCTCCTCCTCCCCCTCCTCCTCCCTTCTCCCCCTCTTTCCTGCGTTTCACCCACCCAGTACAGCGCTTCGTAGCTCCATAGGGAGCTCCGCCGAAGGCCCCAGTGCTGCCGCCCGCATGCGTCACCCACACCCAATTCGGCACACCCCTCACACGTTTCGTGGCCCCATAGGAGCTCCGCCGAAGGCCCCAGTGCTGCCGCCCGCATGCGTCACCCACACCCAATTCGGCACACCCCTCACACGTTTCGTGGCCCCATAGGAGCTCCGCCGAAGGCCCCAGTGCTGCCGCCCGCATGCGTCACCCACACCCAATTCGGCACACCCCTCACACGTTTCGTGGCCCCATAGGGAGCTCCGCCGAAGGCCCCAGTGCTGCCGCCCGCATGCGTCACCCACACCCAATTCGGCACACCCCTCACACGTTTCGTGGCCCCATAGGGAGCTCCGCCGAAGGCCCCAGTGCTGCCGCCCGCATGCGTCCCGCACACCCAATTCGGCACACCCCTCACACGTTTCGTGGCCCCATAGGGAGCTCCGCCGAAGGCCCCAGTGCTGCCGCCCGCATGCGTCCCCACACCCAATTCGGCACACCCCTCACACGTTTCGTGGCCCCATAGGGAGCTCCGCCGAAGGCCCCAGTGCTGCCGCCCGCATGCGTCCCGCACACCCAATTCGGCACACCCCTCACACGTTTCGTGGCCCCATAGGGAGCTCCACCGAAGGCCCCAGTGCTGCCGCCCGCATGCGTCCCGCACACCCAATTCGGCACACCCCTCACACGTTTCGTGGCCCCATAGGGAGCTCCACCGAAGGCCCCAGTGGCGGCGCTCACATGCGCATGCGTCCCGCACACCCATTTCGGCACATCCGTCACAGGTTTCGTGGCCCCATCATCCACCGGAGGTCCCAGTGGCGGCGCTCACATGCGTCACCCACACCCACCCCATTCGGCACACCCCTCACACGTTCCGTGGCCCCATAGGGAGCTCCACCGAAAGCCCCAGCGGCCGCGCTCACACGCGTCCCCGCCACCCATCCCGGCACGCCCCTCACAACAACAGGTTTCGTGGCCCCATAGGGAGCTCCACCGAAGGCCCCAGTGGCACCGCCCGCATGCGTCACCACCCGCACCCAATTCGGCACACCCCTCACACGTTTCGTGGCCCCATAGGGAGCTGCACCGAAGGCCCCAGTGGCGGCGCCACATGCGTCCCCGCCACACATCCCAGTACACCCCTCACGCGCTTCGTGGCCCCATAGGGAGCTCCACCGAAGGCCCCAGTAGCGGCGCTTACATGCGTCTCCGCCACCCATCCCGGCACCCCCCCCCGCAGCAGCATCATGTTTCGGGGACCCAAAGGGAGCTCCACTGGAGGCCCCAGCGGCGGCCCTCACATGCGTTTCCGCCACCCATGTCGGCACGCCCCGCGCGTGTTTCATGTCCCCATAGGGAGCTTCACCGAATGCCCCAGTGGCACCCATCTCGGCACACCCCTCACACGTTCCGTGGTCCTATGGGGAGTTCCACTGAAGATGAAACCCGCAGCTGCGGTACTGACAACCGCATATGGTTGGGTCCTTCGCCAGGCTAATTTAGGGAAGCGCTTTGGGGGGAAGGGGAAGGAGGGAAAGGGAAGGGAAGGGCAATGCGATGCAGTGCGAGCCCGACCTCAACCCAGGACAGAAGACCTCCTGTAGGAGCCCTCCATGCCGCCACGCTGGTCACCGGCAGGCTGTGCTGTCCGGCGGAAGTGGACGAGGGGAGACGCAGGCAGACGACGGCAAACGCCCAGGCGGGAGGCCAGGGCCGGCGGGGCGGGCGGGCAGGGCTGCGAAGACGCATCGGCGGCGAAATGCGAGCCCTCCAGAATTGGGGTGGTCATCGGGGTGGCCACTCTGTCGAGGCGGGGGATCTATATCCATAAGCACCGTCCGGGGGATCGACCTCCGGGGGGGCCCGGCGACGGATATGGACATGTTTGGGACCCAGGGGGGCCATGCGTGCACATATCCACCGCCTGCCGAGACACCCGAATCCAGGAAGCGCAAGCATGGATCGTCGGCGGCGAAAGCCGAACCCTACCCTCGCCGATCAACGATTTAGGCAGCTTGATGGGCGGTGGGGGTAGGGTTTGGAACTCGTCGAGCATGTGGCGAGATCCGAACCTACCCGCGCTTCCCATCGATGCAGGAGAATCGATGGTTGGTGGGGGTAGGGTTCAGATGTCGCCATCCAGCGCGGGTCCAGATCGCAGACGATACGGTCAGGAACTTTTGCTCAGCGTGTTGGCGTCCCCCGCGATACGTTACGCCCTGGCAGCGGATAGCGTGTCGCTCCGCTCCGCGGGGCGGGAGGCTGGGCAAGGCTCGGGACGTTGACGCTCGGGGACCACGACTTGGTTCGCGTGTCGCGCCGAAGCGTGGTGGGCCAGAGCCGGCGGTGCGACTCGCTAGCCAAAAGTTCCCGACCGTCTGATCATTTTAATATTTGTGTTTCTCCTCGATTTCGGCCTATGGGGCCCGTTATCGGGCCCCGAGACCATCAGAAACGGATGCGTGGATAAAGATTGCTTTCGGGAACGCGGTCGTGACCTCTGAGTCAGCGGATTGAAGAAATACGTACCCTGCCAAGTCGATTACCCATCGGTCGTTGAGGAAAGTCGGTAATCTGCGGCTTACAGATCCCAGCCTTTTTTAGGCGCCGCCCTATGTCAAGAGTCGAGCGGCTTTCCCTCTTCCCTCCTCTTCGGGGGACAGGCCGAAACCCAATCTACTCATAACGCCTTCCTACTTCATGTTTCTACCCATTTCTTTCGACCGATGGTTACGTGGCTTCCATCGTTGTTTGTTACGTACGTTTTTCGCTTGTTTGGGATTCTCCAGACCGCCCCGGAGGCTCCCAGGGGCCTCTGAGGACCTCTGGAGATTTCTGGGGATCCCTGGAGATCACTGGGTTCCCCGGCGTCCAAGGTTGAACATCCTCTGGGACCCGCAGAAGTAGCCCGCTGCGCGAAATCAATACGAAAGGTGGATTCGAGAGCCTCTGGGGGCCTCCGAGAGAGCGGAGATCGCTCAAGAAGCTTGAACTGTTCTCGCGGCCGAGCCGACGTCGTCATCGCAGGAACCTGCCGTGCCGCCCAACAGAGCTATAGAGGAACGGCTGGCGTGTGACTGGGAGCTCAAGGGAGCAAGGCTGCTCTTGGGAAGCAGTTGAGCTGCCGCTTTACCCCCACTTCTCGTGCGGGCCGATTCTGCTTGGGAGCGGCTTGCTCCCGATACGAATAGATCCTGCCTCCTGGTTCTGTCGCTCTCGTATAGTACCACAGGCCTCCCCGAGTCGAAGGTCTGAGTGGGAATCTCCGCGTAGGTCTTGAGCCATCTGAGCACACATCCGCGTCCACCGTTGCACCTCTTCTCGCTCGTGCTCTCAGGCCTCGCTTGGCCTCGTTCTCAGTCCCGCCGGGGCCCTGTAGGTTCTCTCACCAGGGGGAGGAGGAGGAGGAGCAGGAGGAGGAGGAGGTGGAGGAGGAGGAAGAGGAGGAGGAGGAGGAAGAGGAGGAGGAGGAGGATGAAAGGAGGAGGAAGAGGAGAAGGAGGAGGAAGATGATGATGATGATGATGATGATGATGATGATGATGATGATGATGATGATGATGATGATGATGATGGTGGTGATGATGATGATGATGATGATGAGGAGGAGGAGGAGGAGGAGGAGGCGGAGGCGGAGGCGGAGGCGGAGGCGGAGGCGGAGGAGGAGGAGGAGGAGGAGGAGGATCATCAGAATCATGCTACTACTACTACTACTACTACTTCGTACTACTACTACTACTACTACTACTACCACTACTACTACTACTACTACTACTACTACTACAACTACTACTACTACTACTATTACTACTACTACTACTACTACTAGTAATACCAATAATAATAATCCTACTGATACTACTACCGAGAATACTAGTAAAAACAATGATAATAATGACAATACTACTAATAGTTTTAATATGAATAACAGCAATACTAGTGTTCGTAATACTACTAATAATACCACGAATCCTAATAAACATAATACTAAATATAATACTAAGAAATAGGAGGAGGAGGCGGAGGCGGAGGAGGAGGAGGAAGAGGAGGAAGAGGGGGACGCGTAGCCTGTGCTTCCCTGGGCTGCGTTGTTTTTGGCCTATCCTGGTGGCCTTCGGCCTTTGAGCTTTCCCGCTCGTGTGGGCCGTCTTGTGGGCCCTCTCGTGGGCCTCTCTTGGGCCCCTCGTGGGGCTCGGGGGCCGTGTTGGGGCGATC